AAAACGTCTGAGTCGATGTAGGAAGAGTTTACACTAAGCTTAGCCTAATGTGACTTTTCGACGCTTGCTTCCCGTAGGACTATTCTGATCGGCTGGGATGGGAGGAGGGTCATGTTCTCGATTCCTGTAAAACGAGTTTCATTGTCCACTTCGTGCGCATCTTGGATTTACACATGCTGGCAGTTTCTGCTTAAGCTTTGGCAAAATTTTTGGGCTTATCTCACAGTAGTCTTACCTTCATGCGTAATTGCGCGTCTGTAGCTAGAAAAAACCGTTGAAGGGCATAGTACGACTCGGTGTGGACTTTTTGCTGGGTCCCATTACTACTGACACTACCTCTTTGGAGACTTGCAAATTCCTGTAAAGCTATGCAATAGCAGGACTTCGTTTACATTTGACAAGGGGCTTAGGTCTCACCATGGTCAGACTTGTAAGTTGACAGAAACTAACAAAAAAAAGTCAGCGAAAGCGAGAAATGTCCCTCCCAACGAAACAGTGTCCGCGAGAGATGGTGAGTTGAAATGGAATCCGTGCTATTTCGCAGCTTCATATGTGTCTAGAGATCCCCAAAATGGCTCTACAAAACTTTGACGGTCTTCTCGAAGCGGCCTATCATGTAAAAAAAAGACACAAAACGGCAAAAGCTACTTCTATGATAACCGTAAGCCGAAGTGTGGTCTAGTTGTATGCTAGGCTTCATGTGTTACCGCCTACCCTCCCCCCCCCCTTTCGTCTTCCCCGTGATCGGTATGGCGTATTCATGAGTTAGGTCGTTGTGACATCCCCTGGACTTATTCTGGATTAGCCCATAAGTAAGGGGGTGCCTTTCTTCAACAATAATTCACGAAAATCTCTCGAAAATGATCATTTGAAGTTGAAGTTTATGAATATTGCCTTTTTAGTGTACAGAAATTTGTTACAGGGAATGGAGAATTCGTCGAAAGCAAGACGATGTGTGTCGACGGAATGAAGTGCTTGCGCGAATGTTGACGGAAGCGTTACCGGCCGTGTATGAGGGTCCGAAAGACTACTCAGCGAAGAGCGCGTTGCTTGATGACGGTACGTTATTTTCGGACCATTTTTTCCATTTACCGAATTTTCGACATTTCTGTTGTATTTCCCCCTTTTCTCAAGTATTCCTGGAACCCTAAGAAATAAATTACACACTTTCTTGGTCCTCTCCTTGCCGTGGAGGCATGGAAAAATTTATATTGGCATTTTTATGGATTGGCCGAGGAGGGGTGGTTGAATTTAGTATCAATATTAACGTTTAAAAGCCTTGGCCGCTGTTTTCTTTTGCATAAATACAGAACCGCATAGTGTACATATCGTGATTAGGGCATGTCCTGCCGTCACGGGGGGGGGGGGGGGCGGAATCGCAAAATGCGACCCGTCCTCAAAAATCCCTCTCTGGTACGGCCCTCTCCCCCTCCCCTTTCTCACCCCACCTTCCCCTTACCTCATCCTTCCTACCATATTCCCATATTCCCAAATGCGCTATCAAAAACATTTTCCTTCAAAGCAAGTTCGAAATTTTCCCCCTCCATCCAACGATCAAATGTGACCCCCCCCCCCCTCCCTTTCGCTGAGGACTTCTAACGTACGCCATGCCTTGGTCGTGATTTAAGCCACTTAATTTGTGTAGTTCCTTACTTCAAAGGTTGTCTTGCTGCATTCATGAGCATTTGCTGTTTCTTTTGGTGACAGGCTCCACGAAACAGCGTGACATTTTTTGTAAAGTAAATGTGGCAGATGCTTTGCAAAGCTATAATGGACATAGTTGCTGAGGTCGTTTGCCAGGAACGGGACCATGTGTATTCACTTTGCAACGCAACACATTTACATTTTTTACTTGGCTCATGTCCCATAGCAGCACGCCTGGAAGAACTACGTCACCACGTGTGCCCCTTCTTTCCAGTGAGAAAGTGTTCTGGTCGTCAAAGAAGGGATCCTTTTGAACGGTCCTCTTTTCACCGTTCAAAAACGCATATTGAATCCTATATGGTCTATACTATGAATTGCGGACCCAGCCGATGTACAAGTAAAGTCCTTCCAAATAAATCAGTCACCGATCGATTGCCAGCCCCGGAGGAGTGGAATATTTGGTTGGACTGGATTTGGTTGGATCTGGCTTGAAACAAGTCAGGGGCTTCCGGACCGCGCGGGTTGTAACTGGTGCTGCTTGCCCTCTCCACCATCCCCGCTCGCCGTCCAACAGATCTCTTTACTTCTCGAGAAGTCCTCTTTCAAGTCTTCTTGAGAAGTTGTACTACGTCCTTCGTCGTGGGGAAGGGGACGGGGTATTAGGGTGTGTCCATAGTTAATGTGGCAGGTGTGGCAAAGAGGCTCTGCAATCAGGACTTCCTTGCTTTCATACCAGGAATCGATCGCTTGAACGTGGCAGTGTTGCTCTATGCAGGATCAGCTAGCCAGGTAATACTCTGCTAGTGTGAGCGCAGTACCGCTGCTCAGAACTGGCGAGGCACGCCCTAGAAATCTGCAAGGAGATGGCACATCTGTGTGCCCTGTGATTTGAAATCTGTTCAGTAACCATCCACGCCTACCTCAGATCAAATAACGGCAAAGAGGCGGAAGGGTTCTGAGGGGAGAGCCGTCGTGTTCAGCATGCGCATTAGTTCTCAAATTTTCCAATTCCATGGTATCCATTCTCATTCTCTTGTCTCGAAATATACAGCTTCCATGATCTTCGTATACTGCGTTCGTACTTTACGGCAGTATCCACTGCGTCTCGAGGGACTAGAGAACTATAGGTATCGATCTAGCGAGCGCCATCGTTTGCTAGCGTCCACCAGCGTCCAGGAATAGAGAGTATGGGGAAGTAGGCGGGTAGCAGACAGCTGGATTAGGCGTCGTGAAATTGCGGCGTGTGCAACCGCACCGCACAACTGCTAAAGCACAGAATTATGCAATTTAATGTACGGTGTAGTGCAGTTGTACGGTGCGGTTGCACACGCCGCAATTTCACGACGCCCAATTCAGCTGTATGCTACCCTCCTACTTCCCCATACTCTCTCCTGGACACTGGAGATTGCTGGTGACCGCTGGTGGGCGCTGCCGCAAAGTATGGATTCTTATCTTTTTGGAATCGTTTTCTAGGTCTAAACAGTTTCTGAGTATTTTTTTTAAACATCCTACACCTGTAGTGGATCTCATGAAATCAATTGGGATTCTATGCATGTTTTTCAGCAAATTTCATTCCCAGTCATTTGCATAGAAAAACAAGGGCGATGGCATCAGTTTTGTTTATAAATAATAATTTTTGCATTGCAGAAGGCGATCTGCTGGAGTTA